ATGCACATTACCGACTCCATTGTTTACACATGTAATTTTCAACCCATCAATTGTGCTAAGGAAGTTACTCTCACTGCGCGATCATAGCTCTCCGGGAGCAGACAACATCCGCCCGAAAGCACTGAAGGCTGCGGCCAACAAGCTAGCTGAACCACTGTCACAGTTCTTCCAAAGGTGCTTTGATGAACAACAAGTCCCCACTATGTGGAAGCGTGGCATTATCACCCCAATTTTTAAAGGCGGTAGCCGTTCAGATCCTGCAAACTATCGCCCAGTGACTCTCCTCCCTGTGCTCGCGAAGGTGATGGAAGCGGTCGTCGCTGAGGCTCTAATGGACTACCTGGAAAAATGCAACATCTTGGCACCGGAGCAGCATGGCTTCCGTCAACACCGGTCATGCACCACCAACCTACTGATTGCACGAGGTAGTTGGACGGAAGTGGCTGATGATGGGGTCGGAGTTGACGTCATCTATCTGGACTTCTCCAAAGCTTTCGACCGCCTGGATCACCGCATCCTACTTCAACGGCTACAGAGCTACGGAATCGGAGATCCTGTACTTGGTTGGATTGGCAACTTTCTTCACCAACGGAAGCTTCAAGTGCGTGTTAGGGGATCACTCTCTAACCCGATTGAGGTGGAATGTGGTGTCCCACAAGGCTCAGTGCTGGACCGCGCTTATTCCTGGTGTTTATCAACGACCTGGCAAGAGTTATCTCCTCAAATTTCCTGCTTTTCGCCGATGACGTCAAGATATGGCGGGCGATTAGTAACAATGAAGATCACGATCTACTCCAACATGACCTAGATTGCATTTATGAATGGTCAAAGAGGAACCTGCTTCAGTTGAACATAGCTAAGTGCAAGGTGATCCATCTGCGTCACCAGCCGGTGAGCGCTTACAAGCTTGGAGACCACACCTTGCAGAAGGTCTCTCAGGAGCGTGACCTGGGTGTACTGGTACAGGAAGATCTCGGTGTTCAAAACAAGCAGAGAAGGCGACGAGAACCGGCAATCAACACTTCGGCCTTCTTCGCAGAGCGTTCGGTCGGTTTGAACCCTCAATCTTTCCCCAAATGCTTAACGCCTACGTGCGACCGCACGTAGAATATGCTATCCAGGCGTGGCAGCCGTGGCAGAAACAGGATCTCGTTGCTCTCGAGACTCCTCAACGAAGGGCAACCAAGAACGTCAGGGGCCTCTTTCATCTGCCCTATCAGCTTAGACTGAAATCTCTAAGAATGTACAGCAGTCGATATCGGCTTTTGCGGGGGATCTCATAATGGTTTACCAGATTCTGAAGAACCCAAACCACATTTGCCGTCCGCTGCTGGAATTGAACCACAACACTAACCTAAGAGGTCATCCTCTGAAACTGAAAATACAGTATAGCCGGCTTGAATGCCGTAGAAATTTCTTTTCCCTCCGCGTGTGCCAGCCTTGGAACGCCCTCCCTAATTATGTCGTCTCTGCTCCCAATCTGGCGATATTTAAAAACGAGTTGACGATGCGTTGTCTCATTTGCATTTCATTTTATGACTTGTTAGCCAGGGGCTACAAAACGCAATCAAACGGTGTCTTACCAAACTCCCAACCAATGGATTTATGGATTTATACTTTTAATACGCGAAAATCTGCTATTCTACATAAGTCTATGGTGAGTCCACCAAAACGCTTTTCACTTTATCATGCAATTTAATTTTCGCAATAATTTCCATCCTACGGGACTTGTTAAGCATTGCTTTTTTATCCGTAATACACCATTTTTCCATAGTTGCATGAAACTGGGATTCATGTCAACTGCTTAGCAGGGATATTGTCATGGGATAGTCCCTGGCAGAAGTAACTTCCTTGCTCCTAGGCGTCTGTATCAGCTTCCTCAGAGGAGGATGTTTGAAGCTGAGGACCTCAGTTAGCATAAATCAACTATTTTTCATCACATTGATGAACTTTCTGACTGTTGCTATTATCTTTTGGAGGCTCTTTCCCAGGAAGTATGAGCACCACGTCTGGTGAGTTACAGAGCCGAAAGGTAGACAGCAGAATGACCCTTGTATCGTCAGTGAAACTCAATTTCTTCCGGAAAAGTCGTGACCCACCATAATGCAATAAGTTTGAGTGACAGGTGATCCTTCTCAGTGTCGTAGGCTCAACCGAAATGTCAATCTCACCACAAATGGATTTCCACCGGTTACATTCACCCATCAGCTTCCTGTTTATTGTGCTAGACAACAATTTTGTACATTTGTGCACACAACCGTTAAAGCACCGTACTTTCTTTTTTTGGTCCGGATAAATGGGTGTTACTTGATACCGTTTTAAACGATTTGGTTGATTATGGAACCAGCGTCACCCTAATGTCACTCGGTGCTGCTAATGGAGTCAGGGGTGATTTCGGCGGCGTTTGCATGGAGGCAGCCGATGCGTACGATGCGCGATTTTGCTTTATGGTGGACGAACTTAAAGTCGAAGATTCCATCATCACCACTGACTTAAAGTTGGCTGCGTCGCTGAAAGGAGGCTAAGCAGGCATGCTTAATGCTTGTGCACTTATGGGAGTAAGGTTAGCCGGAGGATTCGGAGACAAACACTCTAGTGCGGTTGAAGCTGCTGGCTCTCCTCTTCGGTCTAGCCTCGGAGCTTAACCTGGCCGGTTGAGGTACCAGGGTGACTATATTCACCTCTGTGCGTACGCGCCTGGTATTCACCGAATGCTGTTAATGTTCGAGAATTAATAACAAATGTCCTCTGACGGAAACAGTGGCAATTACCGTGTCTTCCTCTGTAGCCTTCTTGTAAAGGAAGCAGGAGAGACAATCAGCTTGACCCAAAACCTGAGTGCGACACTGGCGGGTTTAGAAGCCCGTGACCAAGAAGAATGACCATCCATTGTTGAAGCCGAGTAGCAGAATATGCGGGGATGCTTTACTTAGAACTAATGCTTAGCAGCAGCGGCTTGTGGTCGGTCAGCATGTTAGAATGCCAGCCAAACAGCGTATTGTACAAGTTCATGAACCATTTGATGTTCCCGTAACATCAAAGTTCTGTATGCTAACATACGATTACGGTTTAGAACACATAATTTTGTTTAGTCACTGTGTCTCTCTAGTGTGAGCAGACTTCACAGTGCCCTTCGTAAATGTGTGAGATTTTCTATGACTAGCAAATCCCCATACAGAGTGTACTTCACAGTAATTGGGCGAGCACATAACGAGTGTAGTGCATTGCATCAAATGAATTGTTGGCGGCTTGTTTGCTCGATGCATGTAGTAATATCCAGAGGTAGGGGTAACGGAATCTTGCTAGCTTATGATGCAACCCGTTTTACCCCAACTCGGAGGATGCTTTGAGTATCTGTCCTGCATCGTGATCGGATGGAGAAACCAAGGCAGCATCTGCATTCGCAATCTCTTTTGAGATTTCTTGCTGAATCTACCAGCCCACACAGTGTCTACTCACATGACCAGGTAGCAATTAGTTCGTCGTCTTAACGTATGCAGCGATTTTATCTTCATAATCTTCCGCGATAGCTATTATGCTATCTTCTGATTCTCAGTGCAGGGGTTCCATCTTTGACTGAAGCATGAACAGCCTGGAGGTCTAGGAGCTGTTCACATCAACTTAACTGGACTTGGATTGGGGGAACCTGTAAAATTAATGGAAAATTAAGCAAAATGATATCTCTGTGTTGTGGTGCCGCTGAATGTACGGCTAACATGCTTCTACCTTGCAGCTGACCGTCGCCAGAAATGTCTTATGGTGCCGCTGAATGTACGGCTAACCTGCGTGAAATCTGCTGTACCGCTCCCAACCAGTTCAATCCCGTAAGGAAATGAAAACAACAAGACCAGCCGGACCGTGAGATTCTGATTCTGATTCGTCTTGTATGAGAGCATGGCGCAATAAATCATTTGTACGCAACTATTAACATAGCAATATTGGAGATGTGCATTAACACTAATTAACACAACTCAAGCGGTTTAAGTTCATGGTCCAACTTACTGCTTATCCCACATAGATTCGCGTTTTGATCTCTGCACGAGTTTGATCTCTAATTGTAGACCGATCCATTGTTGCGCTACGCTTCTCGGCTTGTAGGCTGGCTTTCCGTAATATTAGGCATACATATGGTCCCAATTATTCTGTGAATTTCATTACGAAAAATAGCGCGAAGAGTACTATCATTGCTAAGATTGCCATCCCTTCGTACCAATTACCATCTGATTGCTTGCAATTAAATTTCCTATACACATGGCCCAAGTCACTCCCGGCACAAGTTTCATGAAATGTTGTTTGCGGGTTCTAATACCTGTCGAAAGTATTTGGGGGTGGGGGTGGGGGAAGCAGGTTGATAAACTATTTTGCTTAAATGAAACACCATATGCAACTGAGGCAACGCAGATTGATCACCTGTCAAACTGCCTTGACAGATGACTGTCAAACCAGACTGCAGAGGACGCAATCTTTCACCTAATCAAGTTATGCAAACTTCCCGAATCGAAGATATTGTGGTTGACAGCACGCAGTGTCAAATCCACGTTGGAGACATGCCCGATGGGAGCACAAAACACTCGTGGAGTTTCGTACTTTCTCTAAATGCAGCAAAATGTAGATGGAACATTTCGGAGTCTATGGTGAATCAGTCAAGAGGCAACTGTTTTGAATTTGGTGAATTCATCGTATAGATAGATACGGAGTGTACGGTATGCATTGTTAAGAGATCTGTATGTAATAGCAACTGACTAGATTATTGGAAACACTGAATGGTAAGGAGTTACGACAGTTCTTATTGTCCCCTGCGTGGGACACGCAGTCCTATTTTAACAGATACACTATATATATATATATATATATATATATATATATATATATAATCACACAGCTGCCACAAATTCCGTTCGTTTCTGCTTTGTTACATAATTCGTAAAGTCTTCTTACGCTTCGGTTAGATTGGAGTCATCCTGATTGAGCATACTGTACATTTGATGTTTACCACACAGGTCACTTTGGGCACTTGGGTTCAACAACGAGCGTTCCTACGGTCTTACAATCGAACTGCGTTTGAGTCACTGCAATCCATGACCAGTGAGCTAATCACAGCACGACGGGATGCTACTGGGGCCATAACCTCTATGCAGAAAATGAACGATGAATTGGCTGAATCATTAAAGCGCTCTGAGCATCTAATCTCATCCACTGACTCACGGGGTCAAACTAGTCATCTGACTCTTCGGAGACAATGTTTGCTTCGCATCAGTCAGTTGTGGCAATCTACACGCGAGTTGATGCTGCTACGAGAATCATCGGAAAGCGTTCATTTGTCCAAGGTATTACGGTATCAAACAAATTTAAGAGATGCAGAGCACACCTGGGCAGAACTTCTTCTCACGGACAGTTTTTATGAAGCGAAATCTATATTAACACCCAGTGTATCGTTGCTCCGCACAATTCTGACAATGGTGAGTCGCACCCCATACCTCTTCGGTACAATGCTAACCAATATTTCTTGGAAAAGCAAAGACGGTGGAATTGCAAATTGCATTAAATATAAGTGAACAATTCAGACTGAAGAAAATTTGTTCCGCAAGTTCACTGTCTTCGGTTGCTTGCTGTACAGGATTTTATTTTCGTTTTGAAAACTCTCATTCACAAGCTTGAGGTATTTGTTGAGCTTCAGCTTTTTATCCGCAATATGCCATTTGCGATTCCTCATGGGCTGCAGCAATCACAATTGATGAACGCGTCTGTTGTCATACGTTTCCGTTAGAAAGACTCCTTGACACATTCAGTCTTCCATTTATATGCTTACAAGATGTGGTGGAAGTACATGCCGCAATTCTGCTGAATAGTGCACAGTAAACATTTTGAAAAATGCTTGAAACCCATCGAGAACTCATGATTTCATAAAGGTTAGAAAACACCAGTTCGGTATAGTTTGTGAGCAGGGTTTCGCTTTTGACACAAAAGCTTCCTCAGGCCAAGTGAACCAGTTGAGAATTGGTGCAGCAACTATAGAGAACTGGAAAGATAATCTCAACGAATGGAATGTAGACAGATGGTCAATTGTGTTACAGATCGACGCTCTAGAAGTTCTGCCCGTCCACTCTGTTCACGCAGCTATTCACTTTGCTAATCTTAACCGCCTCAGCATTCGATCGTTTGGTGTTTGATCGCAACCTCCTAACAATTTCGATGTTATCCAAGTAGATCTCATGACCTGTATCAATGGCGTGCATTGCTACTGCCGAATCCCTTACTACAACCCCGTATACCAACTCGTTCTTTTGCGGCTGTGTTATGCGCGCCTCGTGTTCTGTTATCCTTGTGCGTATCTTCCTCGCGGTTCGGCCGATGTACACGTGTGCGCCGTCTTAACAACCAATTTTGTAGACGCAATTAGTTGTCCTATTTGCGAGAGGTGGGTCTTTCAAGTTCACTAGTGTGAACGGAGCGTGTACCCTGAAATTAATTATGTCCTCTGACATAGCAAACTATTTTTTTGTAAAAAATTATGACCCTGGTGAGCAATATTATACGCGATGGTCGTTGGCGCCCTCTTTTTTACTATAGCCGGACATTTCGGTGTTGTCTTTTAAGTTGCAGACATGCGTGGACCACGGTAACGGCAAGTAGGGTCCAACTTTAAATTTTACCTTTGACCCCGAAGGTTTTGTCACTATATGACGTCACAGTTGCTATCATGGCGACCGTACAGAACTTTTGTGCGCATGGAGTGGAGTTATTTGGCAGTACTTGATTAATGCTGAGACAATACAAATAGGCACATTTGCCAGTGTTAACATTCTCAGTGTGCTATTCAGGTACTTAATTCATTCTTGTACTGGTAATCACCGCCCAAATTCAACGTGTTTTCGTCCGCTATCCAACTTCACTCTAAGCAATTCGCTTGTTGACATATGCAGTTGTTTAACACACCGCCCACTTACCGCTTCTGAATTCATTTCATACCCAGAGGCTAAAAGCACCGGATATGGACACCCGAGTACATAATGTTGACATCCATGGTTTGTGTGCAGGTCGTGAGTGTGGTCAAAGCTACCCGGATCCGACTGGCAGGGTGCAAAATATTTCTAGAAAATTTTATCCCAAGACTTGTGTTGGTGAGGACTGGGAAAATAAACTGTGGGATTTGGTTCGATAATGACGGATGTTACAGGCTTTTGGTCGATTCAAAACAAAATCATATATACTCTACATTCATCTATTTAATGCTCCATATCGATTCCCTAAACTATTAAATACAGGCACGGCTAAACAGGCACCTGGTGGAAGAGCCAACAGGCATCAGCCATATATATATATATATATATATATATATATATATATATATATATATATATATATATATATATATATATATATGTGGATGGCAGTATCCGGTTTCGGATTTGCCTGTCACTGTGGCCAGCCACAGGACGCCTGCGCCTACAGAAGAACCATGGGTGGCTTGCTCTGCACCACCCATAGCTCCAACCACACACCCCATATCTAGTGTAAACCCGAAGGAATAAGACCGGAAGGCATGTGGATGGAAGCCACGTTTCATCAACGGAGCCGGCCCACACTCCTTTACAGGCAAACACAAGCACCCTGTATTTGGGAATCAATCGCACACAAGGCGGTGGCTGGACCGTAGTCCGCTCCACACTGAGTGCATGGAACCACTCTTTGATCCTAACACGGCCACAAGGACCGTGCACCCCCGTCCCCTCCAGCAACGAACAGCTGTCTCCTGGAGCCAGTATGGATGGGATGGTGGGTAATAGACAGGTAGGCACTTTGTCAATATGCCATCAAGCGCAGCCACACCGGGGATATCAAGCAACAGCCAATCACTTAAGAGAAGGATACAAAGAAATCAACTCGAGTAATGCATAAGGAAACGGTGATATAAATCCTAAATTAATGAGCATGTGAAATAGGTTGCTTACAAGCGAATCTAAGGTAAGTTCATGAGGTCAAAAGGTATATTTTACGGGAATGCCACAAAGACAAAAAGGTTATGGAAATCGACTTTAATTGGCTTAAGCGACGTGTGCAAGTTAATGAAAGAGAGTACAGATAGACATTCATATGCGAAAGAAAAACATTAGGACAAAATTGAAAACCCACCACCTGAAGAATAGAGAATTAGCATGCAAGCACACGGTTAGTAAATCGAATGCAGCGTACCTACAAACGCTGCGCCGGTTCTGCCAACGTTCTCTGCAGGACCCGTCGTCACTGCGGTAGTAGTCCCGAGTGGCCTCGCTCATGGCTCACTAAGCTTGCCTGACTCAGGCACTCGCGACCGCATGTGCTACAGCACCATGCGCTCGATGTCGATGGAGAACAACCCATCGGTGCTTGCCGCTTCTGCACTTGCCGCTTCTTCTCTGCATGCATGAGGCCTTTCTTCTGCACCTCGCCAACTGCCTTCGTGATTAGATCGCGCCATGCACTCCGATCAACCGCCTTTGATTCCCATGATCTGCAATCAAGATTAGAATGTGAGAGGCTCACTTTGATCATGTCCTGGTAACGTAACTTTGGTTTCCCCACATGCCGCTTCCCAATAATCAGCTGATCATATAAGAGTTGTTTCGGTATCCGCGTTCAATCCATACGGCTCACATGACCGATCCATCTCAGGTGTCTCAGTAAAAATATGCAGTCCACTGCATACATCCTACTTTGTCGCAACACTTCCGTGTTAGCAACTCTGTCGCCCCAACAGATGCGCAAAATTCGTCGCAGACAGTGCTGATGGAACCGCTCGAGATATCGCACATCCCGTCGGTATATCGTCCACGTATCACTACCGTATAGAAGAACGGACGGCAGGAGGGATCTGTACACCATCCGCTTCGTGCCAATGGTAAGCTGATGGTTGTTCCACACTCTGTACTCTAGCTTCCCGAATGCCGGCGCTGTCTTCGACACGCGGATACGAAGCTCAGCGTGAAGCTGCTGATCAGCCGACATCACACTCTCCGGGAAGCAGAAGCCGGAGGTGGATTCCAAAACTTCAGCACCAATGCTGATTCGCGGCAATGTCGAAGATCGCACCTCCGGTGAAGGCTGAAAGAGACAGACAGTTTTGCTTGTGTTGCCGGTGAGCCCGGATTTGGACGCTGTCGAACCCAGAGCACTAGTCATGTGCTGCAATTCATCAGCGCTGTGTGCAAACAACGCACAGTGGTCAGCAAACAGCAACATACGGATAGTTGTCTCACAGACTAGAGTTCTCGCACCGAAACGACGGATGTTCAGCAACCCACCATCAATACGGTGCTCCACACGAACACTGTAAGCACAAGCGACATCAAAAGCACAAGACATCATTAAATGAAGACATATATTAAGCAGGGCAGGAGCTAAGACACAGCCTTGCTTCACATCAGTGACAACTGCAAACTCATCCGAGGTCTCTCCACTCAGCTGCACCATCGCTCGCATACCACTGTGCAGACATTCAATTAAACTTACAAAACTTACGCGGGCAACCATACTTACCAAACACCAGCCACAAGGTCTCGAAATTCACCGTATCAAATGCCTTGGTGAAATCAACAAAAGGCAAGAACAATGGCTAGTGTCGTTCTCTACACTTCTCCTGCAATGACGAGCCGAAAACAGCATATCTATAGCGCTGCGACCCGAACGGAATCCACACTGCTCCTCGGCCACGTTAGGTTCCACAATCTGAATGACGAGGCGGTTGAGCAGGATTCGGGCAATCACCTTGCCCACACAACTCAGCAAGTTAATGCCATGATAATTCGTGCAACATTGCTTGCTTTGTTCGCTCTTGTACAGTGGTAGCACAAGGGCATCCTTCAGCTTAGGAGGCACCTCCTCCTCAATCCATTCACTTTTGCCGAGGATCGACCGACGATTTCTGCTGGGTGATTTCAACGCGGGCGTTGGGCGTGATGCATCCGTGTGGACAGGTGTTATCGGTCCGTAGGCATTGGTTCAGCGTATGCGAACGGTGACAGGCTGCTCTCACACTGTGGCACTCACGGCCGGACGAGCACGAACACTCGGTTTGCACTGAGTGCGAGTGATATAGCAACTTGGACACACCCACGGTGTGGTCACGCTCACTTGCTCGACCATGTCATCGTACGTCAGCGTGATATGCGTGAAGTGCGCATGACACGTGTACTGCGTGGCGCTGAGTGTGGCACTGATCACAAATTGGTGAGGACCAAACTGTACATATATTTTCGTAAATCTATATATTGCACTCCCGCTGTGAATCGGCATAAATTTATCTTGCTCTCCCTCGGTACTGTGGCGAAACGTATTGAGCTGGAGAAGGCAATGGCTGCACGCCTGTATAATGTGGACTGCTTAGCCACAGTGGGCGACCTGTGGCACCACATTCGCGACCAGGTGACAGCTGCTGCCGAGAAGACCATCGGGCGCGCGAACTGTAAGCGGCCTGATTGGTTTGATGAGAACAGTGCAACGATTGGAGCATTGGTGTCGGAGAAGAATGCAGCATTTGCTGCACATGTCGCAGACCCCAGTGACTTGTGGAAGAAGAGTCAGTTTCGCAAAGTTCGACGGCGACTGACCCGAGAGCTCCGTCGCATTAAAAATGCATGGTGGACGGAGAAGGCGAAGCAGATGGAATGCTACGATGAACGCCGCCAATACAAGGAATTCTTTGACTCCTTGAAGGCGGTGTCTGGACCGAGAATGGAGCCGCTGAGGACGCTGATCGTTGGTAGTTCGGGCGCTACCTGCACACAGACTGCAGACATAATGCAGGTCTGGTGGAAACACTTCGACTGTTTGCAGAATTCACCTGGCCTGAAGAAGCTCTTGTGTCAAGGGCGAAACGTTGCCACAATAAAACCCTACCAAAACCGATTTGTATACAAAACCTTCTGAAATCATGAAATCACAGTCGGTTCCAAACATATTCCAATATACTTCGACTGTTTCTTGAACAACCGTTCAGAGATCTACTGGCCTACTTTGAATGGCATCAAGCAGCAGGATGTGAAGACGAGTCTGGTGAACACGCCGACATTGGATGAGACGCAGAGAGCAGTTGCTCAGCTGCTAAACGGCAAATGTGCCGGAGCCGACGGGATCCCGGCAGAATTATTGAAACACGGCGGGCCCGCGTTGTTAACTGCGCTGCACTACTTGGTGCAACATGTATGGATTGAGGAGGAGGTGCCTCCTAAGCTGAAGGATGCCCTTGTGCTACCACTGTACAACAGCAAACGGAGCAAGCAATGTTGCACGAATTATCATGGCATCAACTTGCTGAGTTGTGTGGGCAAGGTGATTGCCCGAATCCTGCTCAACCGCCTCGTCATTCAGATTGTGGAACCTAACGTGGCGGATGCTGCATTGCGAGCACTGTACGCTTACTTCCACTCGGAGTCCACATGTGAGTGCGAGCATCATCGAGCTTTTCACACGATAGTGCACACTGATATTGCGATCAAGTTTGGTTGTCAAACAGGCGTCTACAAGTAGCGCATATCTTCTGTTATTGTGTACTATGTCACAAGCAAGGAGTCGGCAAAATTTGCTCGCAGTTTTTGATTGACAAACAGAAATGAAGAGCATTGAGACTTCTGGGGATGAACTTTAGTAACTGGTTTCAATGGTTGCACGTCGGCTTTCTTGTGGAAATGACTTCATAAATTTGGTCAAGAAATGAAATCAAGCTACAAAAATCTTGCTTTCTCGATTCTTGACTAGACGCACCTAAACTGGCGCGAACTAATGTATAATGTCTCTCAGATCACCTTCAACTCCCTTAACAACCACCCTAATCGTTTTTATTTCAGAGAGCAGAATCGTATTATTTTCACCAGCACATTGTGTCACTCGATTCAGCAGCCATTTAATTTGACTCGGAGTTAGTGCGTGGTCAGATTAATGTTGTCCCAAAGTTAGTGGCTACACTGTACTAAAAACGTAGATGGAATGCTTGATAAAGGCAATTATTCCTACAGGTAATGAAATATCGCATGCTGTTCAATAATGAAACCGACCCTAACCATGATGACCGAATATCATTTCGAATTCCGCATGCCAAAGCATGCCGCTCGATTGCAAGAAAGTTCATGCATCAGCTTGTCCATATCGGTGACCGAGCCAGTTCAGCTGTGGTACATGTGGAACACCTCAATCAGGAATTACGAAATTTAGTCCGCTTCAACCGTGCTGTCCGTGTCCAGTATCCACGCGTGCCCCCGGAAACAGCCAGACTGCCTTTATCAAGGTAAGTAGTGCTTTGTGTATTAGTAATGTTTAGTGGATCCATATTACTCGAGACTTATTTTTGCGTCCAGAAAACAAATGAGGCAAAGTGATTGCGCGCATTCATTTTATCCTCCTAGAAAAGCTAACAAAATAAATAAATGTTTTGACTGCAAGATGATTTCTGAGCTGAGTACATACTTTTTCAGGGATTCCGCACTTGTATCAGGTAATACCACAACTATAACAGAGACTACAGGCGCAAACAATTCGTCGAGGTGCATACCCTTTGTGACCAACTTCTTACCCCAGCCTTTTGGATGCCCCGACCCCATATAATCCCCTATCAAGACAGTATATCTGAGCCTAACGCTTCCTAAAGAGTAATTTTGGAGTTACTCATTGTCAAAAATTCACGCTATTGCCAATATCTCATCATATGAAAGGATTACTTACCTTACTTCAGACCCAAATCGTGCAGGTCATGAATTTCTGACCGTAGTGCGATGCGCTACTTACTTGGCCGGATAATCAGGGCATTCACTATTAGCTACAAAATCGGTCGGTTCCGGTCCGAGGAGTTCAACCAGGGAACAAGCCAGAATCCAGATGATGTGGCCCAACGTTTTCCGTATTTTATTGCACGTGCTCCGAAGACACTCCTTTGCGCGCAGCGTATCCGTAGCCATAACACTGTGGTACTTTGTGGTAGACAAAGGTCTGCATGCATTTTATGATTCGGTCGTTCTGTTTTACTTCCCACTAATACACATATCAAAGAGAATGGTTAGAGAATGAGAAGTCATTCTATTTCTATTGCTGTTCTCTTTTCTGTTCCTAGCCTGGTTGTGACTACTTTTCAAATCACTGATGAACCCACTTCGAAACTGCGTGCTCGTGACTTTATCGAAATGCAGCTTATCCAAGGTTGGTTCCACTCATGTGCCCTTTGCAAGCCCAGTTATGATTTCACTTGTTACGCTGCAACGTCTGTGCGTCCTACTGAACGCATTTTATCTGGTACTGAATTTGTGCTTCCTTCACTGTTCCTTTGGAAAATAGTTTTGATGTGAATGTTGACTTCGTTGCGTTTTAAGCCATTTTACATCTAAATTCTACTAGTGTTGAAGGACAGTTGATCGACCTATAGTTGAACTACCGACGATCTTCTGTATGGCACCATTCATTGGGGCCCAGTTGCTTTTGAGTCCAAATTACTTTGGCGGATGCTAAATGTTTCACTTGATTAACAAAAAGTAACGCTTATGAATATGATGCTAATGCATCATTTACGGATATAGCGGATGTGCGAGATGCTACTGATGGAAAAACAAAGAGCGATGGGGCGAAAATATTTTTCGCATAATCAGCTGAGTCTGCATTCGGTAGGATTTAGCCCAGTGACCAACGACGCAGTTCTTTACAGTAGATTGCGATCCAGCAAAGTAAAGAAAGGGATCTGATCAATGCGGTTTGATAACGGACAGCTTTCAATTAATGAACTGGATTATTTTCATGTTGGAGACACCCATGGGATCATTTTGCTGGGATAAGATGGCCATCTGATCAATCGCACCACCACATTGTAAAACCACATTGGTTCGCCCTCATTCTGCGATACTATCAAACATGCTTACGCTATGTGTAGGAATAAGTGATCACCTACTGAAAATTGCTTTTTAGCTTTTTTTGATTTTCCAGAGGCTTCAGTATCGCTCATCTTTGACATTATTTTCGGATACCTCTTCCTGTGCATATTCATCGAATTGGTCTGCTTACAATGCAAGCAAAGAATCGAGTTTGAAAAGCGACCTAAGGAGCAGCTCAAAAGTTTTAGCAACAATTGCCAACTGGTGTGTAACATCATGGAGCAGACACGCCGAGTGACACATGGATCTACCGAGCCCTTATTTCTATCCGAGAACTCCAAATACACCGTTTGCGACTTTCAGAACTCATTCTTTGTTTACAAAGATCAGAAATCTTTTCAGATCGAACACTTTGAAGATTTACCACGCTGTCCTGCAAGCTCACTCCCCACAGCCAGTACGCCAGATACCGCAAGTAGGCCAAGCTGCTGTTACTTGATGTATGTTCATAAATATTCAATTCACTGTAGGTAGTCGTGCACCGATAATGCAAAGAGACTGCAAAGTATTTATAGGTGATGTTGTTTGATGCGGCTGGTCTAACTATTCATAACGCTGTCACCGTGATTTCCACGCAGTTACCGTATACCGCTGTCATTATATGATTGTTCTTTTTGAGCACTCTATCCATAGGGAACAGATTACCGGTGACATTTGTATTCTTTTCATTTTGAAGTTGCCGCATACGGCACACATAGCTTATCACAGGTAGCAGCACAGACTGATTGTGAAAGAGAAGTCTCTAAAATGAATATTATATGCAATAGCTTTGTCATTTGTGAGACCGGTATTTATTGTATTTAACACTTGCCCAATAAATATTTGGCAGAGTGCCACAACACTTGAGTAAGAATAACAAAAAGGAGAGAGTGAGTCAGAGGAATGGAAGCAAAGTTCCATGTGTTGTGTGGGCATTGAGCTTCCCGGTTGCCCAGGCTGAGGAAGTGGGTTGACTAAAGGGACCCCACCCAGAGCCTTTAGTCTAAATACCTGACCCGCAAGGCAGCAGGGTAATTCACGAAGACCGTTGACAGCCAAGTGACTCATTCGCCTTCTTTGTGTTCTGAATCAGTCCACAGAGAAGCCGGTGGCCATCGAGGTTGTTCATCCGCCCTCTGTTAGATACTCACCCCAGGTAGACGAGTGAGTGGTCAGTGACCCTATAGCCGATCACATTGGCTTTAACACAACACGGTACGAGCATTTGTGGTATTTAATGGAGAACCAGGTGACCAGCCCAGAACTCCTCACGCTCTGAGACGCTGCCGCTGATTATTCACGACTGCTTATTCATCTCGCCTGCAAAGCAAACTAGATTTATTCGCAGTTACCTCCACAAGGAAGGCATTCCCCGATCCGCAACCTGGGGAGACGCCCAATAGCGTACAGCTCCGCCACGGTAGCGGCTTCTGAATTGATGTTCTATCTCAATATAAGAAAGTGCATTTTTGTGATGTTCTAACGTTAGCTTCTCTCTTCTTGAATTCCAAAATTTAGATCACTCTGAACTCTCAAAGCAACAAAAGAAATCGGTTAATCAGTCTGCCCTAGTTCCTTATGCAAGTGGTCAGCATACATGGGTTACGATGAAGCCGAGTCCCATTTCTTATGAAAGGTGATTCATGCTTTTTTCAATATTAGTAAAGTTCTTTACTGGAAATGTAGGCTGAATTAGTGCGACGATAAGGATGGATCACGTACAAACTTTTTTTACTATACCGAGCCGGGTGAGTGTTAATATAAGAATCATGAAATACAGATTCGCTGAAGTCATGCCAGCGATAGGTGAGAATTCCTCCGCTCTAACACTCAAATTTCCATTCTGAAATATCGTGAAGGAAAGGAACATCGATTGGCCGAAATTGTCCGGATAGTCCTGAAGAAATCCACAGGCCCCTTGGTGTTCCTCGCTGATGAAAAAAACACACCGTCGAACATTGGCTACTGCGTATGCATGAATAAAAAGTAACTCTTGTTAAGGACCAGACAACCGAGGGTTGCGTTGTTCATTGGGACAATGAAACAATGGTGTATTAAGTTAAAAAAGTTAATGCTTTACAAATCCCTTGGGATGAAAATTCCTGAGCAAATAAAAATACATGATAGAGTGAAAAGCGTTTCGGTTTACTCAATATCGACATAAGCAGAAGAACCGGGGTGTTCACGTATTAAAAATATAAATCCATGAATAAAATGGTTATGGGTTTGGTAAGACACCGTTTTCTTGCGTTTTGCAGTCCCCTGGCATACAATTTATAAAATGAAATGCTAATAAGACAAAGCCTCGTCAATTCGCTTTTTAACTATCTTTAGATTGGAGGCAGACATTTCATAATTTGAGGGCACGTTCCACGGCTGACTCACTTGCAGGGAAAACGAAATTTCTACTACATTCCTGTGGGTTACACTGTATTGACAGATTCTCAGGATGACCTCTTAGATTAGTTTTGTGGCCCAGTTCCAGCAGCATGCGGCAAATGTGATTTGGATTCTTCGAAATCTGGTAAACGATCATGGGGTCCGCCCTCAAACGTTGATATGGACTGCTGTAAATTCCTAGGGACTTCAATCTAAGCTGACAAAGCAGATGGAAGAGACCCCTAAGGTTCATGCTTGTCCTTCCTTGAGGAGCCTCGAGAGCGACAAAACCGTGTTTCTGCTACGGCTGCCACGCCTGGATACCATGTTCCACGTGTGGTCACAAGTAGGCGTTAAGCATTTGGGGAAAGATTGAGGCTTCAACCCGACTGAAGACGCTGTGAAAAAGACCGAAGCCTTGCTTTCCGGTTTTCGACGCCTTCTCTGCGTGTTTTGAGTACCTGAGATATTCCTGTACCAGTACACCTAGGTCACCCTCCTGAGACTACTTCTGTAAGGTGCTATCTCCGCGCTTGTACACACTCACCGGTTGGTGACGCAGATGGATCAACATACGCTTAGCTGAGTTCAACTGGAGTACCTTCTTCGTTGATCACTCATGTTGGAGTAGATCGTGAGCTTCCTTGTTATTAATCGCCTGCCATAACTTCACATCGTAGGCACAAGGCAGGAAATCGGTGAGATAACTCTTTTCAAATCGTTGAGAAACATCAGGAATAAATGCAGTACCAGCACCAAGCCTCTGGGACACCACATTCCACCTCAGTCTGGTTAGAGTGTGGTCCCTTAATACGCAATTGCAGCCTCTGTGGGTGAAGAAACTCGCCCATCCAACCAAGAACAGGATGCCCGATTCCGTAGTTCTGCAGCCTGTGAAGTAGCATGCGGTGTTACAGGCGGGCGAAAGTTTTGGATAAGTCCAGATAGAGAACGTCAACACCCACCCCATCATCAGCCACTTCCGTTCAACTACCTCATGCCATCAGCGGGTTGGTGGTGCATGACCGGTGTTGACGGAAGCCATGCTGCTTCGGTGCCAAGATGTGGCAATTTTCCGGGTAGTCCATTGGAGCGTCAGCGATGATCGCTTCCATCACCTTCGCGAGCACAGGGAGGAGAGTCACTGTGCGATAATCTGCAGGGTCTGTACAGTTACCGCTTTTAAAAATTGGGGGGATAATGCCACGCTTTCACATAGTGCGACCTTGCTGTTCGTCGAGGCATTTTTGGAAGAACCGTGACAGTGGCTCGTTAAGCTTGGTGCTCGCGGACTTCAGTGTTTTCGGGCGGATGTTGTCTGCTCTTGGGGCGCCATGAGCGCGTAGTGAGTGTAAGTTGCTTAGCACAATCAATGGGTTGAAGATTACATCTATAAACTCTTGAGTCTGTAATGTGCGTGACATTATGGGACAGGTAAAGGCTGCGAGGTTGAATAGTGGGACGTATTGTAGCCACAGGGCATTGGCTGCTTCTGTTGTCAAAACTGGAGGGATGCCATGCTTTACTTTACAAAGACTGTTGACGTGCATATACAACAGTTTGTTGCTTGTCAGAAACAGTTTGGTTAGGTAAGGTTGTTTTTGCTTTGTCCTCACGGACAAGTGTGGTGCAGTGATAGCGATGGATCAGTAAGTAGCCCCAAGCCTCTCAGTCTCGGCTAGCATTGTACACACCCCATGCTGCAGCCCTTTTTGCCATGCATTTTTTAGTCCCTGTCCTTAGGACTGACGTTTGAGGAACGAATGGGCTCAATCTCTGATGCTCTGTTGACCATGTCACTGAATCTTTCAACGAACTCTGTCCAAACGTTGACAATGGAAATGTTATTCCAGAACACCCAGGCTGATGCCTCGAGGAACTCTTTCAGTCGTGTTACTAGTCGTGTATTAGTTCGTACTGAGTGTTCAGCTGGATACTCTGTGTAACAAACATAGTTAAAGGTTATTATTACATGGTCTCTATCAATAAGTTATCAGGCATGAGTTCGACACTTGTGAGCACAAATCCAATATGGATGACTGTTTGCTGTCCTGTCTAATGAGTGGGGCAACATGCTTGTGCAAGGGAGTATTAGCGATAAGTTTATGCAAATGTGCTTGAAACTGTTCACAGGGAGATGCCGATACCTCCAGATCGTGTACATTGAAGACACCGGCAATGCAAATGTGGCTGTACCTATGGTGTGTCACCCTGTGCAAGGCACATATGAAGTTGGAATCCATTTCCGGAGTGGGTGGCAAACGACAGATACGAGACATGTGTCTTAGTCGGAGATGGCACCACAGTGAGTCGGTAACGTGAGTTTCTGGCTCATCAACTATTGCAAATTGCAGGCCACTGTGGTAGTACAGAAGGACCCCACCTTCTTTGCTGGGTGGTTCCAGATGGGTGACAATCTTGCATCAGCAACTTCTTGGTGTAACTAGGTTTCGTTAATAGAAATTAGGTTCCAAGGTTTCGCAACCTGACGTACCCGAAGTTCGGCAAGTTTACTGAGAAGCCCTTGGGCGTTAGCGTACTTACATATAAGTGCCTCAGATCGAGTCTTGGATGAGCATGTGAGCTTGAACAATAGGTGTGTAGAGTAAATAGATATAGATAGAGCAAAAAATTCAACCAGCGATGTGATTGCTGATGATTACATTTGGATATGTGGCTGACAACCTACTGGCCAACTATGGTCTTTGGCTACTTAATTACATGATCAAAGAAGATTTTCCATTAAAGATTTTTATTCATTCACGCAACGGAAGAAAATACTCACGCAGTTGTAGCTTCATCCATGCATTATTACAACGTGTTTGACGTTTTCCTCTATTACTTTCCAATACCAATACTCTAGTGTTTCCACTTTATTGTTGGTTTAATGGAATCACCAATGTGATCACTAGAGCCATTGTAATACTCGTTGTGTGATCAGACTCGATACCATACTGCAACATCCATTTGGAATCACGTCCGAGTGGTTTTGTGGCACAGCGCATAATTTCAAGCAAAAGTTTCAGTTACACAAATATAAATCCTCTCGTGCATATTGAAACTCTTCATCTGTGTCACTCTTAGTGACCCAGTGTGTGTGAGAACATACTGATCGAGATGGTATTTGTACAAATGCGCGCTTCAATGGAAGAATGCCACAATGATTTACGACCTACTATCACATCTAGTCCCCCAAGAATATGCTAATATTTCAACACTGCCTTTTTGTGTACTGTGCACCATGTGCCTAAATCAACAAAATAAAATTGACTGCTAGCGAAGCGCCCGCATGACACCTGTACCTAAGAAAGGAACCTGTAAGTACCGGCCTATTGCTTGTACGTCGCCGGTTTTGAAGACATTTGAACAAATTATTCTCGAAAGTATACTTGTCCAAATCCACTCAAGTGATCATTTTCTGTTCGCCTATGGCAGTTCAAGGTCCACATGGATGCATTGGCTTGTACACTTTGTTCTTTCATCCTTTGATAGTAAAAACAAACCCACGCGGATCTGCTTCCTAGATTAAAGCAATGCTTTCGGCTGTGTAAACCGTGGGCTGCTGTTACACCATCTGCTCGTTTCCGGAGTTCAGCCTTCATTCACTATTTTTCCTTACAGACTACTTTGTCAAATGAACACAGTTTACCAATATTTGGGGGAAAGCTCTTTCTCAATCCCCACAAATTCATGTTATTTAGAGATCTATTTGGTCCCCAATCATATTTTCCACTTAAAGTACTCCAATTCCCGCTCCAAAGGAAGCTATCCTGCTAAGGTATACGTATGACGTGATCTTGGTATACATAATCACACCACAGTTTCATCATCCAACTTTCAATGCTTCTTGGACCACCTCACAACCTGGTCCCATCCTTGCTGGCTTTCATGCAACGTATCAAAGTTTAACGATGTTCTTTTCTCGCTGTGCAAAGAAACATATTATCAGCCAATCCGCACTCACACCCCGTATCTTCGTACCGCGTGTCAGTCTGAACACCTGTAGATTAGTGGAGTATCTAGGAGTTACACTGACTTGAAATTTCACGTGGTCCCAGCACGTGAAAGAAACATTTACTAACCTCATGAGATGAACGTTTTATGCTTCCTGACATAAGTCTTCATCCGTGCATCGTTATCTGAGCTTACGGTTTGTCACCGCTTGCGTGCTACCGCACTGAACGTATTGCTCACCCGTGATATTTCCTGGACTCTTAAAAGGGCAATCCAAAGTGATCAACAGGTCACTGAAGCAGCTCGC